TGATGAAATTACTCCTGGAATATTGCAGTTGTTTAAAATTTCACCTTGCTGGAAAGTACTGGCAGCTTGAAAGGAGGAAAAAGCACCAGACAGCTTGAGAGCCTCACACATAACAAAAGATTAGAAGGATGGCTTTAGAGCCAAAAGACAAGTGGTGATTTTGACATGAGCACAAACACAAAGGTCAATGTGAATGTTAATACATGGGAGAGATCTCATTTACTTTATAGCTGAACCAAGGGATGTAGTTCCTATACATTTATTCCCTGATACAACATGGTTAAAATTATGTATTGTAGCTGGGCTACATCCAGGTCAGAGTTGCACACAACCAGCAGACTAAACAGCGTGCCCTGGCCACAGCAGCTCCTTGGAGAGCACTCCAGAGCAGGGACAACCAGTGGTTGGCACCTACATCTGGTAACCATGTCCCCAGGCCACCAACACACACAGGGAGTGTTGGGCTAATGTGTGACACTGCTGCAGAGAAAATGCCCTTGGACTAGACAACAAATCCCAGTAGTGTGACTGGCTGGGAAGCAGGTACCCACAACAGACCCACTGCCAGCAGCTGGGGGGTGCCTAAATCTAGGTTGGGCAAAATATTAGACACTATGCAGAGTCTGCAGCCGCCCAGCACAGGCAGGGAGACAGCTCACTTGTGAGATGCTGGAGGTCTGCAGACATCTCAATGGGTCTTGGCCTTCTCTTCCATCTCTGATTGCTGCCCTGCCAGCCTTGGAGTACATTATTGTTTATTACCCAGAGGGGACAGCTGAATTCCTTCTCTTCTACAGCAACAATATTTTTTTGTGATGCCAATGCCATGACCTTTATTCATGAAAAACAAAGTACAAATGGGGAAAGCAGGGTGGAGCTCTGTCAGAAATGTGATGTAAACAGCTACAAAGATGTGGCTGTGCTCCTCCAAAGCCATTTCCCACCAGGTAAGGATCAGAGTAACAGGCATTGCAAACACAACAGAGATCCTATCTGATATTTTGTTAAGCTAATTGCCTATACCTAACAGCAAGGCTTAACAAAAATTGCCAAATCAAACTTTTGGTCAGATTAGACAACATCAACAACAATAGTTTCCAAAGGATTTTTGGAAACAAATTCCCATTCCAGGTATATGCTGACATTTAAAAAAAGCCTTCCTCTTTTCTAGCATTCATGAAAGTAACATGAACAATTCAGTAGAAGAGCTCCCGTTTTGTTGTGGAAACAGTCTCCGCAGTACCCTTGAAAATTCATCCTGAGGCAAGTTTGAAATAATTCATGCTTTTGCTCTTACAAAAATATCTCCATGTTTAGAGCAAACAGCTGTTTTGCTGGTGGAGGCCTGCAGAAACGTGACCTGTATTTAAACCTGTATCTTACTGGGAGAACTGGGAGCTTAGTCTCCCAGCAGGGAAGCAAAATTCAGGCAGTGACACATACAAAGACTTCTGGGGTGGAATTCAGCTTGAGGGGAAACCTGAGTTGAAGCCAGGTGGAGTGGCCATGTGGCAGCGTCCTCTGCTCTGGCTGGAGATGAAACCTGTGTCCTGAGCTGCAGCAGGCCAGGGCATGTGCCTGGCAGATGCCTCTCCACATGGTTTCTCAGGACCTCCAGAGGCACTGGATGGAAAAGCTTGCAGGGGTCCAGCACACCCTCCACTGTGTGCCTCTGCTCTGTGACTTACTCAGCTCTGTTGCCTGGCAGTCCCAGGCTCTGCTGCTCAGGATGATGCCTGGTCACTGCCACAGCCCAGCCTGGCCATGCAGCTCCTCCATGACACCCATGGCCTCCAGCAGCACTTGCTATGGGGCAACAGGGGCCAAGGGTATCTTTGTGAGTGCCAAGGGCATCCCAAATCCACTTTGGCTGCTCCACAGTTTGCTGGGACGTGCTTCCCAAGGAAATGTGGGGTTATAGGGGCAAGTTTTCACACTTCTCTCCCGTGAGCCAAACTTCATGAGCCCAACAGACAAACTTGCAGAAGTAAAAATGAGAAAACTTGAGGACTCTGGCTGACACAGAGAGTAAGGGACAATTGCTCAGCGCTACAGGCAGCCTGTGACCAACTGTTTACAAAATATTAACCATTTCTGGCGCATTTAATGATCAGTATGTGATAATATTGGGCTTTGATACAAATCAGAGCTGACTAAATTGGCCAAAGAAATTTAGAGGCCCAAGTCTGGATAGTTTGTGCTTCGTGCTGAGCCTATTCCACCCTCTCCCCTTTACCCACCTTCTCATGTACAGACAACAAAGCAGGATTGCTCTGGCTAGGAGGGACAGGCAGAAATGGCTCTCTGCAGGGATGCACTGCTGGGTCGGTGGTGCTGCTGCACCCAGATAAACTTTCCAAAACCAGTCTCTGCCCAGGTTGGGACATAAGCGTCAGGTATCCCAAAAGAGAAGTGCAGGGATGCCGCAGTGAATATTGCTGAATTTATTTTAGGCCACGGAGATTCTGGCTGAAAGATCACTTGGGAGCGTGCCAAAGGTCCAGAAAAGGTAACTGCTTGGGGAAGCTCAAGGTCACCCACGCCTGAGGACGTCCCCTCAGTGACACTGCTGCCTGACGTGCTGCCAGCAGAGGTGGAAGCCCAGGCATCTCCTTGGAGCACGCAGGCGATGCTTCGAGTGTTTGTGGCCTGGCTGTGCCAGGGGACGGCGGGCAGGGACGTGCCGGGTGGATGCTGCTGCTTCCCTCGCCGCCAGCTCTGCCTCCCTGCCACCAGATGCAAGCAATTTGTTTTGCATTTGGACTGGTAGTCTGGAAAACCGAAGAGCCCTGTTTTTAAGTTTATATTATATGCTTGCTTTCCAGTTCTGTTAATTAAAATCATGATACTGGATGAGCAGTTGCTGGATAGTTTGCAGGGCTCATTTTAAATTTCTTCTTTTTTCTAGACACTCAGGCATTTGAAACCCTTTCTCTGCTTGCACTGCATCAATTCACCTAGCTAGAAATTCTATCTGTCTGAACTTGTACAAGTATGCATTTGGGAATGGTTTTGTTTCTTACAGTATTTTCTCCCAGTGTTTGCCTATATATACACCAATGTAATTTGTCAGAATAAATGAAGTAATTGAAAATTATACACTCCTCATAACTGTTTCACCACCACTTTGAGAGGGAAGGGAGCAGAGGGACCCATAAGCAAATAGAAAGAAATGAGCATGTATGAATTCACTCAAGTAATCACTATTCTTCTTTGGTGAGTTTAATCCACCAGCTTTTCTGGAGCCATTGTGTAAGTCACGAAGGCTCAACTGCCCCAGCAAGCTCTCCACTCTACATTTTGGGACTATTTTCCACTATTGCCACCTGGGATGTGGTTAGGCCAAGCCTGCCCAGGTCAATAATCAGCTCCAAATTGAAATGGAAGTGGTTCTGCAGGCAGCCTCAGACTCTGTTGACCTTTTATTGCTTTCAGAGTGGATTTGCCACATCTTCTTCCCTGTCTCCCAACTTGCATCTCCTGTGGCTTCCCAGATTCCATATTACCTTAGCTGCACCCATGTAACTACTCTGATTTGGCAGGACCTGTTACGCTTGTGAAGCCCAGGAAATCTCTGCAGGCCATGCAGCAGCAGGATATTCAGCTGCAGTGTGGCAGGTGTGTTACCAGCAGGGAAAGAGGCACATTCACCATGTGCCTCATCAGCAAGCACACCTTGTGCTACTGGAGTAGTGCTAATGAGGACTTGGTTCAGTGAGGGAACATCACTTAAACTGCCCAGATGTGAAGCTTTGCTTTGAGGACTGAAAATGTTGAGTGTGGACATGTGCAAGGACAGGCCAACATCTGCAGCATTTACTTTGTTTTGCAGACAAAGCTTGGAGTCGCTCAGCAAATCTTCTCCCATGCCTGAGTGAACATCACCTGAGCTCAGCAAAGCCTTTCTATGCAAATCCCAGCTGCTCTGCATTGTGTCAAACAATGACTCCAGAATTAGATCCAACAAGATGTCTTTTTTTTTTTTTTTTTTTTTTTTTAGCAAGCACATAGCACATTCAGCAACACAGCCTTTTCAGGGTTTATATCTTGGTTATTATTACTACCATTTGCCTTCTTTTGGAAAATTGAACTCATGTGATAGAGGAACTTCATGTGTCAAATTCTGATGCAGAAATTCTGGTATGAGTGCTTCTGTAAAATACAGAAGTGGAAAATGGAGGTTCTATGGTAGGAAATTATTTTCTTGGGTTTTTTTTTTTTTTAATAAATTTTATATGATTGAGCCAGCAAAGAACAATGCCAACATCAAAAAAATCCATTACCTGTTGATCTTGTCCTGTTTTTGGCAAATTTAGGCAGGCAAGATTTTGTAAGAACTGTTATGTAATAGTTCAGGCAAAAAAAAATGATTAAAAGAGATAAGTTACCATATATCTAGTACTAATAATCAGATTAAAAAGAAAAAAAAAACAAACCAAAACAAACAACAACTGGGAAGTGCAATAACTGGATTTGCTAATGCCATATAAAATAAAAAGACGAGCACATATTTGGATTTTGCACAGGGCAAGTGTCACAGATTTTTCCCTAGGGAACAATACTCTATTGGCAAAGTGTGGTCAAATGCAACAAACAATTCTTTTAGGTCTTTAATTACTGCAATTCTGTTTAAAAGTTAGAAGACATTAATTTTAGCTTGTGGAATGCAACTGTGAAAGAAAATGGGTTTCCTGAATTTTCAATGATTGACTAAAATTCACACACATACTGGTTATTTTAATTTGAGGAAAAAGGATTTTCTTTCTTTATCCTGTTACATAACACTGGATCTATTCTCCCTTGAACACACAAGTATGATTATCATTAATCTTAAAGGGAAACAGTTGTCTTTCAAAATCCTTTCTGAATTTCTGAATTTTTATCTATTTTTTTTTAAAGTTAGATCCCAAAGGACTGGATATGAATTGAAGATGAAAGCACATTGTTTATTTTTTTAAATTAGATTACTTTAATCTCATTTATACATAGTTCTTCTACAGTTCTTCCCAACAGCAATAGTGAAGAAAAAAACATTGTTTTAGAGTTACTTTCAAAATACAAAATATACAGTTCATATAGCATCCAGCAGGAGACAGAGTACCTGTTATTGCTTTTTTAGCTCATTTTTATGAAACTGGCAGGCTTTCAGTTCAGAGACATTCTTTCATAATACTTATATTTTTCATTCTATAGTGCATCACAAAGATTTTAAATTGCTCAGGAGATCTTGAAAATCCTAGCGAAAACCTTTGGATATATGAGAGGTTTTTATTTCCAGGTAGCTGACTGTCAGTTAATTTGAGACATTCACTTTTTCCAAAAGCCAGTATGACCACTTTGGTTCCAGGCTGGTTGGTTCCTCTGTTTGCCCCTCACTTTAGGAATCAGCCCCTGTAAAGCAACAGGCATTTCCAAACTCAGCCGGTGCTCAGAAAGAACCAGCTCCAGCCTCTCAGCCTTGCTAAGTGCCTCAAGTTAATTTGCAATTAGCTTGATGTAAGGAAAGGACTGGTGCAGGCAATCCCATAATGGCTAGGCAGTCTCAAATATAAGCAAAATAGGCCACCCAGAGCATTAAAGCAAGAGAATTTAACTGGCTACTTTTCAAGAAGACCTGTGGTTTTTCATTGCCTTTGTGTTCAACTTGTAAACCAGGTGTAGGGCTCTATCACTGGCAGGCTCACATGATGGGAAGTGTATCAAAAACACAGGTCATATTTTGATTTCCGCTTGATACTTTATTTATATATGATTTATATGGACAGACTAAGAAAAATTAACTGTCCAGGCTATAATTTTATCTAAAATAAACACGGACAAAAACTACAGCAGCTTAGTGGATTGTGTGGATCAGGTACATATCCTGGTATGTAACAACAATAGCAACAATTTATTCTCCAATCTATTAATGCTTAAAATCTGCAATCCAGAGTCACTCCGTGATATGCAAATCTCTTACAAAATCTGCTTCCCTTTTTCAGGCTCAGGATCCTCTGCTATACAGGGGAACTCCAAAGACTGACCCCATGTAACTTTGTGTAGGAAAGTCATGTATAGAAAATCATTAATGCAATGGACTTATTCAGACCTTTTTGCCATTCTTGCTTACACAATCCTTTACAGACAGTGCAGTCCATTTCTCTCCTCCATTTCTGCTGGACTTCATACCTGGATGAACTTGTTGGGTTTTTTTTTTTTAATTTTAATGTTTATTTGTAAAATCTTCCCAATCCCTGCAAAATCTCTTTTTCCATTTTGGTCCTGAGTCCATGAAACATCATGTTTCCTCTAACAGCCAAACAATGAAAAAAAGGTTTCTCCTGAAAAATGAAGAAATATTGAATTGGTTACCATTTAAAAGTTAATGAGAATTTGCTGATGAGCATATTTTAAGTCCTGGTGTAATATCCCTCCCTCCACCTCACCTTACAGAAATCTGAGTTAGCTCTTCCATTCCCTTTCATCCATCTGAAATCTGGCTCTCACATCCCTGCCCCTTGAGACCTCTTTACCCAGGTGCAAATACAGTGAATCTCTCCTGACTTTCGTGCCATCTCAGTAGATTTCCACACGTTGTAGCCAAGCTGGGGATTTGGCCCAGTGTCTTTTTTAAACCCTGTGACCCAGACATGGAGATTAAAAAAGAGTTATGTTATCGGATTAAACAGATACAAGAGCCACTCGCTGCATCAGCATCCAACACCTTAAAACTCCAGCAAGATCAGCATGGTAATGGCCAAAAATAGTCTCTGAGAAAGAGGGAAAACTCAAAGGAAGGTGATGATAAACCCGTGCCTTGGGCTGGGGTGCAAAAATCTGCCACTCTGACTGGTTGCCAAGGCAGCCAGGGGGATATGGTGTTCTGCTGCTATAGCATCTTGATATAGGATACACTCGAGGTATAAAAGTCATTTGAACTTTCCCTACCTGTAGCCAGAGTTATTTTGGCCTTAGTTAAGTTTGGGTTAATGTCTTCACAGCGGGGTTTTTAAGGGTTTAGGCTTGATTGCGTTATGAACTGCATCAGCGAACACTGAAATCAATAAAGCTGCAGAAGCAAAAATTCTAACAGATTAAAAACAGACCTACATGAAAAGGATAGTAATTTCAGGCACCATTTGTATGCTTAATATTATACACATGCTTATGCTTTGTAATTTGGGCTCTAACTTGTGATTTTGGTTACATAAGAGAGTGGAGAAGCCAGAAGCATTAGTGCTGCCATACGCCACTGCAGCTGAAGGCAGAGCTCCCCCAAATATTCATCAGGCACATTCTCAGAAGTTGTGCTGTGTCAAAATGAAATAGAAGATAGCAATGTGCATATTTATGAAACAAAAGGATTATTATTATTATTACTATTATTATTATTATTATTATACTTAGTTCCAGGTATTGTTTATGTGCCTCTGACTTCAAAACAGCTTTGGCTGTTGGTCTTTTACCCCAAACATATTTTTTTTAAAACACAGAGAGCAACCATGTGCTTTGCGTGGCTGACTTTTAATGAGAGAGAAGCAACAGAAGAAGAGAGAGCAAGAGACAAAATATGGACTTTGATTTCTCTAGAGAACTAGAGCAAAATATTCCACTGCTGTCAGTGGTCAGCTGTGCTGGCAGAATCCTTCACACAGACAAGGCTCCAGCCGCTACTTACATTTCACTGCTGGTTCCTAATCTGCATCTAGGCATCAACCAAAGAAGTGGCTGAGCTGGTGAGAAACCCTTTGCTTCATTCCCTAGTGCAGCCAGAGCTGCCTGTTTGTGGTCCCTCGTGGAGCCTCACAAAATGTGAGCTGCCTTCTGCAAAAGATGCCTACGAATCAAAGTTGCAGTACACAAGAAACCTGAATCAGAAGATGTAGGTGGCAGCACGGACTACATCGTTATGAGTTTAAACGACGCTGTTCAGTGGAGATATGTCATCAATTAGCTGTGTATTTCCTATATCTCTATCTGGTTTTCTGCTAAAAACCTGTTCACGTTCCAAATCAGCTAAGATAGTGAAAATCACAGGATGCACTGGAGTAAGGGAAAATCGGATGTGTGACTGTGGCACAGTGTTTTTGGCATCCTGTATTGGCATCCAAAAGTGTGCAGAATGGTGCAGCTTTTGCAAGAACCAGCTAAGGAAATCAGCCTTTTCTGAGACCTCCCTGGAGGCTGCTGTGATGGAATTTGATCCCCCCAGCAGCCTATGCATAGGTGATGGGTTCCTGAGGCGGTCTCCCAGTAACTGCTCTCCTTGTTTGTGGTGTAGAAAGGTAGCATCTTGTATCCAGGAAAACCTAGAGAGCAGAGGTGTGGGGACTATTCACTATCCTTCGGTCCATCCCTGCTGTTCACAGTGCAAGGTTAGCACCGCGGGACTCCTGTGAAACACAGATGGCCCAAAATCTCCTTTTCACAACTGTACTCCCACAATGCAAATGGTATTTTGCAGTACAGAGAATCTTACTAAGTCTTCAGCGGGGATTATATGAAAATACCTCGCGACACTGTCTGCTGCTGTATTCTTTCATTAAAAGAACCAGAGGGGATGCAGGTAGGAGAGCAAGGAAGTGTTTCATATATCCGCTCGCCTGCAGGGGAAGAGGACCGGCTTTCGGTTCTGTGAAACCCGACGCAAAACAAAACGTTGCCCTGCTCGTTTTCCCCTCCGATCGCCCCCGCCGTACTTTGTTCCCCAGCTGCGACCGGGACTTCCCGGTGCCGAGAATCGCGCTTTTGGGAGGCGGCCGGGCAGAGCAGGGATATCCCAGCCTCCCAGGCACCTGCCAGGCCACTCTCCCGTGTTGCCTCCCCCGGCAGCGGACGGCTGCGGGACCAAACCTGTCCCCAAAGCCTGGGTGAGAGGCACCGGGTCCAGAGTCCAGTCCTCCGGGGAGCCACGGAGAAAAGTGCCCGCGGAGGAGCAGAGCCAGGGCCCAGGTACAGGGATGGGCAGAGGCGGTGACAGCGTCCTGGGATGCTTTTTCTGTGAGAAGGGCACTCTTTGTGTAAAGATAAAAAATAACGACTAAAAGAATGTACTGAAACGAAAAACACCGAGACGAGACCAGCGGCCGGGAGCCCTCGCTCCGCTCCCTGCCCGCCGCGGCAGCCGCGGGACGCTGGCCAGGTCCCTCGGGGCGGCCCCGCTGCCGCTCCCGCTGCCCGCGGCAGCCGCGGGGGAGGGCGGGCGGCCCGGGGCGGCCCCCCCGAGCCGGCGGC